ATTTAAGAGAAACATAAAGAGAAAGAGAGAAAGAGAGAGAGTGTCCAAAACGTGAAAGTGAGACGTTAAGCTGGAATTCAAGTGAAGACAAAACTTTTTAGTGTAATTACATGAAAGTCCTTCATCATGGAATGGAGCAATTATGTGTGCACTTCTTTTCCATTATCATGCAATATACTAACAATCATCAAATAAGATACACATCTACTTCGTCATGTTGGAACATTTTTTAGCAATAGAAAAGTTAATGCATGTGGAAGCTAAAGATAATAAATAAAAAAAATCATCATATTCAATTAAAAAAATAATAATTTATGTCGCACCCTCGCAAGCAGAGCGTGGCAACCCTTGATTAATTTTAGGTTTTTTATTGTTTTGTGAATAAAAGAGTAGTCGCCTAATATTTTAGTCACTATGAACCCTAACTAGTCTTTTAGAGATTCTAAGGCAAGGGATTGGTTACGTAAAGGGCAGGTATTAACACTCCTAATACGCCCTATCTAAGATAAACTGTTTGGTATTTGGTTTGCTTTATAATTGCTATGGTGTTAGTGCTTTCTAATCCCATTAGTTTTTCTAGGTTTGATTCAAACTAAATTTATTAAGATAGAAATCCAAAGAGATTCCATGTGCTTTAAAATCTCATTTTTCCCTTAGTATTTCAAAATTTTACGACTCATAAATCACGAGGAGGAGGGACGAAAATCTAGAATCTAGGGCGTTTTAAAAGCCTATTTTTGCCTTAGAGTTTTTCGGCTCGTAAATTATGGAGTAAAAAAATTGAAATGTCCTTAATTATAATCAAGGCTTCTTTCAAGGATGTGTGATGACTTATTATCCCTAGAAAATTATTTTGGATATTTATCATTCTTTATCTAAATATTAAGAGTGAATAATAAATGAATTACCCCCAAAATAAGATTTTTTATTTTTTGAAACATTGGCCAATCCCTTTGGAGTTTTACAGACATATTGTAAAATCCAAAAATACAAGAAAATAATTTTAGTTGTGTTTAAAAAATCCATACGAAAATACATTTTTGAAACTTCTAATATTTTTGTATAAAAAAGAGTGCTTAAAAACATGTTAGGGTATTGGCCATATGCAACATACAGGAAAAATTTTAAATTTTTTTATCGAAACACAAGCATCACAATTAAATACAAAAATCACAATAAAAGTTAATAAATCGATCGCATATATTTTAAAATTTATACGAAGCTTAAAGCAAAAAAAATATAACCGGAGAGAAATAAAACATGTGTACAAGGGAGCCAAGATAATGAAACCAGAATTTAGTGACAGTGTTCATACCCTAATGATTAGTACTTAAAAGTGCATTTTTATCATGGTTTTATATCATCATTTTGCACTTGAAGTATCAATAACTCCTTAACCAAAGTATGTTTTATAATAATATATCTAATAATATAAGATACCTTTAATTTGTGGTAAATGTTCATTTTAAATGCAGGCTTATCACATAAATGAAAGGATTGATTGATGACTTTAAGAACTTAAATTTTAAGGATAAAGAGATGGCAAAACTTAGAAAAGAGATGTCGGTGCAATCCAAACCGGAACACTGTTCGGTAATTGGGTCATATCTGGAGCTATATATCTCAGATTTAGTTCCAATTTATATGGATGGAAAGATAAGACATAGGCCTACAACTTTCATATGGAGCCCAAGATCTAAAAAGGTCATTTTCAAGTCCAAATTGCAGCAACAACAAAGAAGCCCGAATATGTCTTCCAGCCCGAATATTGTTCAGTATTTTGGTCATATCTGGAGTTCTAGAAGTCCAAATAAGCTGAAGTTTTTGCACAAGAAAGCTGAGACAATTGCCTACAACTTTCATGTTTGCATCTGGCTCCAATTTTGACGTTATCAATGACGTTTTGAGCAGACAAGAGAAGATAAGGATTGTCACCAAGTCAAAAGTTGGCCACCCACTTATCAATTAGTCATCAAATCAATAGTTCCCAATTTTAGCCTATAAAAAGAGGCATTTGCCATGCATTTAGGCATCTTTGTTTCCAGATCAAGATCATGCTCTTCCTTTCTCTCTTTGTATTTTTTGTAATGTTTATATTTTGCTTGCATTAATATTAAGTTTATGCCTTTCATTTCCTTTCCTTTACTTAGTTAACTTTTATGTTCTTATTTTGTTTATCTATTTTGCTTTCTTTCATTATGTCTAGCTAAGTTAGTTATGTTAAGGTGAAAAGGTTACACTAATGGTGTAAGAATAAGTATAATGTAAACTTAATATGGACTTTAATGTTTGATACTAACATATTTTATATTTGTTATCTTGTTCACTCTTTAATACTTTGCTTGTTAAATGACTAATCTTGATTTATGTTGTATAACACTTGGTACAACAAATGCTTGGCACTTTCATAACTCATAATATATGGTATAACCGACACTGAGCTATGAAAGGAACTTGAATAAGCGGGTTCTTGAGATAGCTTTCTTGAATGAGACCTTTCATCGGGATTGGACATTAATCACCAGTTATTCTTTCTAAAAAAATCAATTGGATTATCAGAATTAAAAGATAAGTTACATATATAAGACACAAACTTTGGCCCACGGTCCCAAGGGAAGTTACGAACCTCATCTCTATCCCAAGGGAAGTTCAGAATTAAAAGATAAGTTACATATATATCCCTGAATATTCGAAAGATTTTTTTGGTAAATCTAATATCATTCGGTGTAGTAAATACTTTTGTCGGCTTTGTAAGTAATGCTGTCTTCATCGACCTGGTCCCACGAACACGATGACAGAAATGGTGCCGCTCCTGAGTTACAGTGAAAGGAAGGACAGCAAAGACGCACCACAGAAGAAAAACTAATAATCGCTGATCAGAATGCCAAACATTTATTTATGTGGTTCTTAAACACCATGCAGGAAACGTGCTCCGACTTGAAAGATTTCCACGCAAGGCATGTCTTTTGATGGCTTCCATAGCTCGCGTCCAAAAGATCATGTGTTAGAATTATACGATCATGTCGCCGGTGATGGATGAATATTTTTTTCTAGTGGTGATGAAATTGTGAAAAATCTTATAAAATAAGTTCTTTGCTTGTATGAGATAATCTTTAATACTTAAATTAATAAATATAATAAAAATTTATTTTAAATAAAATAATTGACTATTTTATTATAGCAAAAGACAAAATATCTACATGCACGTTTATTCTTTCTTCTTTAGAAGAAAGATTAGCTTATCGTGTTAGAATTAATTAACATTAACTTTTTTTTATAATATATTGATTCATATATTTTTCGATTTATTTATTAAATTAGTTATCAACTTTTCAATTTTCAATTAATTCTTTTATAATGCTTAAAAAGTGCATTTACAATGCATGCACATTATTTTATTGTGTTAGAAATTAACCTGGATTCCTTGATTAGTAAAGAAAATAAATTAAAATGTTATACCTTTATTTCTTTTAATGTGATATAGAAACAGTTGCATTGTGGATTGCTACAAGACAACTGTTTTTATCCCTGTTTTTTTTTTTTGTTTTGGAAACATTATATAATTATGGCAAATGAATTTTTACTTTTCAATTCTAATATTCTCCTACATTATGTTGTAATTTTTGTGCTTTAACATATTCCATTTGCTGTGAAACAACCCGAACCCGACATTAAAATCAATATTACTAATTAAAATTTCAAACAATGATCAAATTTAAAATTAAAAATAGCTCCTTTTCTTTTTCATTGATTATGGTTTTAAGTTTTATAATTTATATTAAAAAAAATCACTGTAGTCCCTAGAGCTTTTAATTTTGCATATTTCAATTATAAATTAATTTATTTTATTACATTTCAGCTTTTGATGTTGAGAAAAAAAAAAGATAAAGTCATTGAAAAAAAAAGGAGAGAGAAACAATTTATTTAACTGCATTCCAACCACATAAAAAGTTTATCTTGGTGTTAATGGGTTATCCTTAAACAAAGAAATTAATTGAAGATTATTTTTTTTCTTTAAACATACTAGAGAAAGTAAATCGAAACTAGTAAAATAATTTTTTATTTTATTGGATCTCAAGTTTTTAGAGTGATTAAAGAGTGCTATGATGTTATAAATAAATTTATTAAAGTTTTTATGATTTTTTTAGAATGTTTTCAAGAAAAAATAAGTTCAAAATTGATTTTTAAAGTTGTATGAAACTCGAACCCACCCCACTTTCTAACCATCAAATATGTTAGAATTTGAACTAAAAGATGATACATCACCTGCTCATTGAAATAAAACAAAGAACTTTAGCTTAGCTTTTTGGTTCGAGACCCCTTAACAATTTATTTTTAACTTTTTCTATTTTGTGAATAAAATTCTTTTGAAGTTGATTTATTAAAATAATATTTATGGATTCAATTAAGTTATTTTAAGAGAATTAGAGATTTTTATGATAATATTAGCAATTTCATTAAAAATAATTATGTATTAACTTAAAATGCATAAATTTTAAAATAATTTGCTTGTTAATATTGAATGAGAATAAAATATCTATTTTTTATATAATTTTTTTAAATTTATTATTTTGCAAATTTATTCATATAGGTATGTCATTGATTCATATATATTTGATTTCGATGATGTTTCTGACCCCTCAGGGCATGGAAGAAATGAAAGCCTCCGTTAGCCTCCTTAAAAAACTACACTTGAGCTTTTGTCTAAGTACAACAACTCCGCCTGCTTTAAGTTCCTGGCCGTTATCAAGATTTGGAGGCTATCTTATTTATGAGTCTATTATCTATCTTCGTTCAAGATTTAGAACTTAACTATCGTAGTTTTTTGTTGAAAAAAATTAAAACAAAAAAAAAATAGCATATTAATCGTTAAGTCAATGATCCGAGAGTATTAAGTAAAATTTGATTGTTATCACCATTTTATGTCTGATCAACAAAATTCTAAATTGATCCATCATCCAGTACCGGAAAAAAAAATATGAACAGCTGAATACGTTATATAATGGAGAAAGTTCATAGCATTTTTATTGGAGTTTATTTAATTTAGTAGGCCAAACACAGTTCAGTTCATTTGAGTGCAATCGGTCATCAATCTCTTTCATAGCACTCAAACGACCCAGAAGCAGATACATAATCTCATCACTCACAAGCCAGACGTGGCGTGGGAATTGACTCAATGATCTTGGCTGCGGCAAGGAAAGCATTGTAGGAGGCCAAGTAGCTAATTTGCGATCCTGAACTTGCTTCACCTGCTACATTGGAAGCACCTCGTATCACGATGAAAGGCTTTTCATTTGATAAAGATGTCTGCAAATCAAATGACCAAACTAGTTAGCCGAACACATGAACTAGAGAAACTTTTCTGAGTTCAACCAAATTATTCCCTCTTACTAACCCAGGCTACAGCAGCGCTTTCTTGATCGGCAGTTGAGACGTTAAAAGCTTTGTGAAGGAAATCTCCATATGCTTTATTTTTAATGTAAGAATCAGAACTGGAGCCCTTAGTTCCAAACACAATCTTAGGCTTGGAAGGTAGGCAAACTTCATCGTAGCATTGGCTCAACTCCAAATCCTGCAAATCACAGAAATTATTCAAGCATATATAATACAGTGTGTGTGTGACTGTTGATAAAGAAGAAGAATCAAAATTAGATTGACAAACCTGAAGCACTTGAGTGGCAGCACTATACCAGGATGTGGTGCTGGGAAACCAGAAAACATCCTGCGGTGATTGTCCTACAGAGAACAATTTTATTGTATCATAGTCTATACTAGCCAACAAGTTCTCTCCGTTCACTGGATAATTAAACTCGCCAAAGATTAGCTTCCCTTCCGTTGACCCGAATTTCTGCGCCATTGTAAAAATTAAAGCTGGTTACGTATAAGATGTGTGCGTCTTATAATTAACATACAACTTAAACCCAGAAAATTAAATTAAATTTCTTTCGATTCATCCAAATATATGGTAGATATATTTTTTTTTTCATGGAAAATGCTCCATGGTAAATTCAGAACTAAATATTATGTCCTCGCCATTAATGTCCACAGAGTGTGTGTGTGTGTGTGTGTGTGTGTGTGTGTGTAATTACCTTCCAATCCCAAGCTCCTGTGAAAGCAACAGCAAGCGGCACGGAAACATCACCTGGCACTATACTTGTTTTATCAAGGCTCCCAGCACTACCAAAGTGAATAATTCCGTGAACACGGAATCTATTCAAGAGGATTTGCACAGCAATGGCAGCATTTACCTAAGTTTGGTTGCAGTTAGCAATGGACAGCAACATATGTGTAATATATTGAATATTCAAATAGCGCAATGAAGAAACAAAGATTATATAGAAACGAGGAATCTTACAGAATTTCCCCCGATCTTAACATATACAATATAACGAGCATTAAGTGTCCCAATGTGGAACCTTCTCCCCGCAATGTCAACATAAGGCGTTTCAGCATCAGGTGTGAAGAGACCAGAGTCTTGTAGGGCCTTCTCGTTGGTATCAGAAGTTAAGACAAGCCCTAAACGAGTGAAATCAATTTTGCAATTGTTTGTCTCAGCAACAGGGTTTGTCAAACTCATCTGGAAGGACTGCTGAGCCAAAACCAGCAGCCCAACCACCATCACTACCAAGTTAACGCTCGACATTCTAGAGATCTGAGGCAAGAGAGACGTTGTTTAGAGCAATGCAAGTGTTCTGTGGTATTCTGGTGTTGCTCATGTGACTTTATATAGAGATCAATCTAGCGAAACGGCCAATTTCTTTTCATTTTTTTAATATATTGTTGACATGAAATATTAAGTCTTTCATATCCATTCATTTCTCAAGGATCCTATCACCTCAAAAAAAAAAAAAATGTGGCAAAACGTGAAAGTGAGACGTTATTCTAGAATTCAAGTGAAGACAAAACTTTTTAGTGTAATTACATGACAGTCCTTCATCATGGAATGGAGCAATTATGTGTGCACTTCTTCTCCATTTTCATCAAATAAGTTACACATCTACTTCGTCATGTTGTAACATTTTTTAGCAATACAAAAGTTGATGCATGTGGAAGTTAAAGATAATAATTTATAAAATAAAATGGTTGAATAAATATATTATAAAGTATTGAGCGCAGTTATTAATGAATTGTTGCACCCCTTTGACGCTCTT